CCCAGTTTGCTCTTACATAGCTTAGTTGTTTTAAATGATACTTGTTAGCATGTAGTTTTTCAGCCTGAAGACTCTGGCAGGTTTTGAAAAGTGCCCCCGGTGGCAGGTTTCTCCCTTAACCACTCTGGATCTTTTTTTTTTTTTTTTTAATGTATTGTGGACCTCTCTTGAGTCTCCCCTTTTCTAAGCCTCAAGGTCTTTGGTGCCCAGGGCTAGGGGTGGGGCAAGGTGACAGCCATACACATCAAACTTTTAAGCTGTAAACTGTCCTTCTGAGGCAAGTCTATATTGAACAGTCCTAGTCAGCTTGATGGCACCTAACAACAACAAATATTGAAGAGAAGACTGCTTCCACCCCTCCACTTCCAAGCAGTTAATCTCATTGCTAACCTCAATGCTAGAGATTTGAGTGCACCCAGAAATATCACAGAAGTAAAACAACAACAACAAACCAACCCTCAACTTATTTTTGTCCAGGCAGAACCAACTCATAATTGACCCTCCAGTATATTTTTGAGGCTGTAAATCACATGGGAGGCTGAGACTCTCATCCACTTTACTTGAGAGGAATAGCTGGTGATTTGGAATTGCTAGAAAGACACAGCCTTTGGGTTAGGAGTTTGACTCCTCTGGAGAAAGGCCCAACAATTTGCTTCTGGAAGACCAGCCATTAGAAAAAGCCAGGGAATTTAGTTCTATCTTGACACACATGACAGGTCATGTTGTAGTTAGTAGGTGCCATCAAGTCAACGATCAGTCATAGCAATTCTATGGACAACAAATTTGAACCTTGCCCTATCCTGTACTATCTATCCCCAGTTTGTCCAACATGCTCTAGCCCATTGTTACAGTTACCATGTCTATCTGTCTTGTTGAAGGTCGTCTTCTCTTTCACTGACCTTCCACCTTTCCCAACATGATGTCTTTTTCAACTTTTATGAGTCAAAGTTTCACTATCCTTGCCTTTAAGGAACACTCTGCACTTCAAGACAGACTTATTCTTTTGGCAATCCATAGGATATTCATACTCTTCTCCAACACCACAATTCATAGCATTGATTCTTCTATCATCCCTATTCATTGTCCAACTTACATAGAACGTAACTAAAAAGACCATGGTTTGTATTAGGCATATCTTAGTCTTTAAACTGACATCATAGCTCTTTAGCATTCTGGAGAGAACCTTGACAGCAGATTTTCCCAATGCCACAAATCTTATTTCTTCTTTTCTTGACTGTTGTTACTTACCATGGATGTTGACTGTGGGTCCAACTAAAATGAAATCATTGACAACTTCACTCTATATCTACTTTGGTCCAGTTGTGAGGATTTCTGTTTTCTTTTTGTTAAGAGGTAATTATATGGAAGTCTAGTTTTTTTGATCATCAGCTGCATGGACATCAAGTCTTCTCACTTTCTGCAAGCAAGGTTGTGTCATCTGCATAACATAGATTGTTTAATTTTCCTCCAATCTTGATTCCACATTCTTCTTCATATATTTAAACTTCTAGAATGATTTGTTCAGCATACAGATTGGAGAGGTATGGAGAAAGTATACAGCCCTGATGCACAGCTTTGCTGAATTAAAACTGTGCAGTATGTCCTTGCTCTGTGACAACAGCTTCTTGGTCTGGGTATAGGTTTCACACAAGCATGATTTAAGTGTTCTGGATTTCCCATTCTTCTCAAAGTTACCTATCATTTGTTGCGATGAGTCAGTGTTAATTCAATTGAAACTGGTTTTGGTATCCAGAAGAATCCTTTAGCCAAGTATTTATAGAGTCTGGTGGATTTTTAAAAAAAAAAAAAAAGCAAAACCAAACTTCATCACTGAAGAGAGTAGAAATCAAGCCCTAGCTGATGTCCCAGTGGGTTTTCAGAGGCTGTAAATCGCATGGGAGGAGACTGCTCAACTTTCTCGCAAGCAGCAGCTTGTGTAGCAAAAGCTTCGTTTTTGGATGGTAGCACAACTCCCTACCCACTACGGTAGAGCGGCTTAATTTACATACAGCTATGATTTAGACAGTGGCGAGCCTAACGTTAGGCATTTTACTGTAAAATTTAAGATGATATTATTTTTTTATTGCGATGAGGAACTGGAGGTGGTTTTGGTCAGTAACTTGAAAAGTCACCCAACTCAAAGAGCAGCTGAACAAAAAATGTATCAGAAATACTGTTTCTGGGTCCAGTCTGCCAGTGTCTGAAATCACCTCGTCTGGGTTCCCACGGAGGGCTCTCGGTTCGTTAAGTACTTCTGGAGCCTTGCTTGGTTCAGCTTTCCTTTTTCTAATCCAAGGATTTTACGGTTTTCCCCGGTCTCAGGCAGCATAGGTTGGGGAAAAGGTGGGGGGCGATCCAGAGAATTCAGAGATTTGCCAAAAGACGAGACGCTGGGGTGTAAATGCGACGCCACCCAAGGGTCAGGTCCCGGCGCTGGCTGGTCTTGAGCTGCAATCAAGGCCCAGAGAGGAATCTGGTGGGTGATGATGAAGGTTGACAGTTGAGAGGCGGGTGGGGTGATCAGGAGGCGCGTGATCTCACCTGTCGCGAGGTGCGCCCAGGGTCCAGATTGGCCGGAGGAGTTACTCCACAGCACCGCCCACTTTCCAAGAATTCCCGTTCCCTTTCACCAAATCTCCCAAATCCAGAGGACTCGGCCCGCCCCTCCGCTAGGGGCCCCGCTCGAAGGCGCCGGAAGTCGTGCCGTGGCGGCCCGGCCTGAAGGCCCGGTCATCTCTTGGTCGCCAGCAGCGGTGCAGGTGAAGGGCGGCCGCTCGGAGCCGGGCGCAGACCCGAGCTGGAGGCGCCTTGGCCGTGGAGGAGGCCGCCGGCCCAGATTCAGGATTGTGACCGCTCTCGCTACTGCTGGGCGCCCACCAGGCACGTCAGGGGGTGAGAGGAGGGGTGGCTCCAAGCCTCAGCCCCCCACCCCACTGCAGCCTGGCTGGACGTGGCTTCCCCTCCGTCTCCGACGTGGAAGCCGGGTCAGCGAAGGGTTAACAAGGCTCGCTGTCTCCTCACGCCCTCACCCTTGGAAAGTCCCTGAAATGACGTTTCAACCCGACAATTAAAAAAAAAAAAAAGTTTAATTATAGAGACAAGCTCTGGGAGCTGGAACAAACCCGCCGGGCGGCGAGACCGGTAAACAAGTCGGGAGCGCGCGGGCCGGGCCACCGCCGCCCTGCAGAGTCCGCGCCCCAGGCTGGGGGAGGGGAGGGCCCACGAGAGCTGGAAAAGAGGAGGAAATTCGAGGAATCGACTTTAGCACTGGGAAAAGAAAAAAAATGTTTGTTTTGAGCCAGCTACGGGCCCAGGGCTGCGTGATGGTGCCTCAGGCCGGTCCTACAGCCGCGAAGCGAAAGTGGCACAGTCGGTGCCTGGTGCGGGGACAGGCCATCGGCCGGCCGGGTATGCGGCTCGCCTTCGCCCCTTCACTTGTCCATCCCTTCCCCCAGCTGAGGTTTGCAAACTCTCCGGAGCTAAAGACCAGCCAACTGTTCCCCCCCGCCCCCCAGGGGGTGGTGTGGGTAATCAGAAACCGAAATAGCTTCACATCACGACTCAGACTAACCTCGTGGTTTTAACGCGTACCCTGGTCTGTGTCCTGAAATCTGGAACTCATTACCTCATCACCAAGAAACTGCACGAACGAGCCCCCTCCTCTTCGCTGCCCGCTCCCCCCCCCCCCCCCCGAGCTGGAGAAAGGAGCGAGCAAACAGCCCTTTAAGAAAGAAACCTACACGTGAATGATTTAAATTAAGGTGGATGGGAGTTATTTTCCTCTCTGGCTCTTGCCAGATTTCAAGAATAGTTGAAAAATGGGAACAGGAGAGAGAAGCAACAGGCGGCCGAGAGCAGCAGAAGAGAAAGCAAAGGGCAGCAGTCAAAGAAGGGGGCCATCAATTTAAGTCAAGGGGGACAAATAAAAGCAACCTGGGTTTGGGGCTGACGTAGGCCCGCGGTTGCAGCTTAAGTTTTGTGTTTCGTGAAGTTGAAAAACAGCTAGTTTCTAAGGCAGTTATGATTGAGGTTTTCCCGGATTTGCTTAGAAGTTGGTGAATAAATAGGACATGCGTTAAAAAGTGTGTATGTGTGTGTGTGCGCGCGCTGGGGTGGCGAGCAGGCGACTCAAGTGCTCTGCTCCGCCCGCCCCGTCCTTTCCAAAGAAACGTGCTCATAATGGGGTGACCTAATTACATCGCAATGGAACCCGCTCCTAGCCACTCGGCGCTCGGCGTTTCATAACAGACCCGGCAGCCTCAAGTGCTGGGAAGAAACGTGCGAAGGCCCAGGCGGCGAGGGCCCCGTGGAAATAGGAAAAAAAGTGGCCCCGCGATTTCCGCCTCGGTTTCCCCTCCAGAACCCACGCGAAGGCGCAGACAACAAGGAGGGGGAAGATACAACTTTTTCTTTGCATGTTGGGAGATACTGAATACAACTTAAAGAAATAAAATGCTTTCTTTCACATTTTTAAAAGGCATAAAAACCCAGAGGTCCGATTTCCCAGGTCTCCCCTCCCCCCCATCCCGCCAAAACAGCGCAGCGTGACAAGCCATATGTTCCGTTCTTGTTAAGGCGGGGGAAGCAGTTAAAAGTACCGGGGCACCTCTTTCCCTGCTCTCCTCCATTCCTACCAAAATAACTTTTTAAACTGCTCGAACAGGGAGTGTGTGTGTGGTTTGCCCCGAGCGTGGAAAAGTAGTGAGATGAGTCGGGGTGGGGGGTGCGGTGAGCAGGAGTGTGCGTGAAGCATGGGAGCTTCTCTTAACTAAAACTTACAGATTGAATACTTGAATACATTCTCAGTCCAGGTCGATTGAAAGAAAACCTAAAAGAAGTTCAGCTTGGGCAGTGGTCTTTGCTGCGTCCCCCTTTTCAACCGCCCACACTCGGAGGGGACTGGTTGCAAAGCTAGCGCCAGTGTAGATAGATGGTGCAGCCAGCTAAACTTTGCTACATTCGCCCCAGCGAAAACGAGTGCTCCGGGAATACAATCCCCTCCGCTGCTGAAATAAACATAAAACCCTAGATCTGAGCGCTTTGTGCGTGCCCCAAATTCCCAGTCTCCCCGTCCTTCCCCGATTTCTGATGGGGGAGCCGAGGCGGAAGATAACTAGGGGTGAGTAACTTTTCTGCGGGAAGTTGGAGAAGTTTCAAGGGAGATCAGCTCAAGATGGAAACCGCAACCCAGGCACTCCGGACTGGCTTCAACTCCCGCTTGCAAAAAGAGAAAGTCGATCCCGCCTTCCTGCCCAACAAAAAACAACAACATAACAACAAGAACCCCGAAGGGGGTGGAAGGAATGATGTCACAGAGCTGAGGCTGACAAAGGGGGGTGCCGCTCCCCGCCCCCCCGGCGCCGCGATCTACCGAAGAGAGGGGCGCTGGCCGCGCCGGGGTAGCGAAGCGAGTGGACTCGAAACTTTTCCTCTTTAAGAGAAGAAGAAAAAAAAAAGAAGTCGCAAGCGCCTTGGAGTGGGGTTATTCCCCCCCTCCGCCTCTGTCCTCGTCCCCCCTCCCCCCTTCTTCCTTTTGAAAGTTTTTTTTTTTCCCCTCCCGAGTTTGACCGCATGGCTGATTCAACCTCAGTGTCAATCAACTTTTTTCCCCTCCTCTTCCTCATTTAAATAAGTTTAAAGCTCCACCTTCTCGGGCCTTGTAAGTCTCAAAACTTTATAAATTGCGCTTTGCGCGCCGCTGGCCGGGAGAGTTAGAGAAAGGCGAGGGGCGCAGGGAGCTGGCGTGTGGGACTCCAGAGCGGAGAGCCGGAGGCTGCGCCTTCCCCGCACCGGGACCTTCGCAACACACCACATCCTCGCCCCTGCCTGGTCTGAGCGCCCAGGATGACCACCCTCATGCCTGCCACCATCTTCGACTTGAGCGAAGTTTTATGCAAGGTAAAGTGGGGCAGAGCGCTCACTTTTCCTGTAGTTTTTCTTTCTTCTTTTTAAAAATCATCCATATGAAAGAACTCTTCTGAATTTGAAATCTTGGAAAGCAGACGTGAAGCGAGATAGTTATTAGTTTTTTTCCGCCCTGATTTCGATCATAGTTTGAAGGAATTTGGCCCGCTTCTACACATGGTTTGAGTTTGAATAGTCCCTGGCTGGGATTAAATTGAACCTTGAAACCAAGGTTTTGGGGGGCGAAGTTAACGTGGCGGGCGTGTTTGGGGGACGCAGGGATTGACTGGAACTTTTGGGCCATTCTTTCGTACCTAACTGGTTTAAGTCTCGTTTTGCCAATTAGCTGAGTTTGCCGGTTTGGGCTGCTGGTGAGGTTCGAATCTCGTTAGCCACTAGGCAGGGCTGCGTGGTTAGGGGGCAGATGTATTCCAGGGCGACGTTTTAGTGGGAGATTCCCTTCTCTTTGGAGGGGCTGGAGATCTGCAAGGAAGAAAAACCCAAGAGTTGTGATTCAAAAGGATGTTGCAAAACGAATTTGCAGTGGAGTTTGTGGCCGCCGAGTTCTGCCTTGCTTCCTCCGTTGCTGGCTGATAGAATTTACTAACTTTGGTGGGGTGAGCCTTGCCTCTCTTACCTGTATTCCAATTCTGTCGATTGGAGTGGGAGACTCGGGCCGGAGATCCAGGGACCCTGCGCGGAAGGATTTAATGCGGCCTTCTTAAAATGAGTGGCTTGCCGGCCGGTATTGGAAAAGCAAATCTTAACTCAGAATGTTCCAGGAGGGCGGTCAGAGTGTACATTGGAAGAGCCTGTGGATGTTAGGGGTTTCCCCCCTACCCCCTTTCCTCGAGTTGAAAGGGAGACTCTGTTAGGCTACTTTTAATTGCTAAAAGTGCTTTGCCTTCCTTTAAACACGTCAGGTCATGTTGCTCTCTTCCCTAGCTTGCTGCTCCTGTTGGTGCAGCTGCCAGGGCCCCAGGGCTGCAGGGTTGGGGTGTAGGGACGCCCAGGAGCTGAGGAAAAACAACACAAAGTTTGACTATCTATCATACCTGCGCTTTTCCAAACTCGGGTTGCCTGCGCTCCTGCCATAGCTCCCCTGCACCTCTTCGTTCTCCCTTTTGATCTGTTTCGATTGCTTTCGACCCTCTCCCCCTCTTCAGGACTTTAAAAATGAACCTCATTGTTGGGAACCGGCTCGCCACTCCAGTTCCTGTAGGGTGGTTGCTGTTACCAATTCGAGATCCCCCGCAGCGGATCCTAAAGGGGGCAGCTTTTTAGAATTTGCACAATGACACCCATATAGGCTCAGAGGCAGCTCCAGAGAGCTCTGCCCGCTCCCTCCAGATCTTGGGTACAGTTTGCCCAGGTGACCAGGGTCCTATCTGAACAGAAACCTGCCTGGAGGGGCTCTGTCTCCCCATCACCTTTTCCTGGGGGGGGGGGACTGGGTGCTTTCTCTTCCCATCTGCAGCTTTGCGTTAAAGATTAAACACTGGCGCTCTTATCCAAGCCTGCTCTTGCAGCCAGAAAACTAATTGCAAAGGAATCTTCCCAGTGGAGGGGGTGGGGTGGGCGGGGAAGAGAGGAGGAGGTCGTTGTGGAAGGCACCCCCTTCGGGGAGCTGAAGCAGGCAGCTTTATTTTAAGGAAATACATCCTTTTCTCTCCAACCCCTAAAAAGGGTCTCCCCCTACCCCGTCCTCCCCCTTCCCTGTACCCGCCTTTTCACCCCAAGCAAAAGCAGCCTGGAAACCTGTTGCTGACGGAAGGGAACACTCGTGAAGGAGGAAGTAGAGTCTTAGATCAGGCTTGGTGGGGTTGTCAAGTAAGCGGCGATTGATTGAGAAACCTAGCTCATGGTCTTTTTAAGGTTTACCTGTTTTTTTGTTGGTCAAGGGGATCTTAAGTTGAGTTTAGCAATATTTTGAGTGAGGAGTCTTTTTCTGGGAGGTAAAGAATAAAGAAGTTAGATTGTTAGGAATAAAAGAGGCAGCGTTCGGACAGGATCATGTGAGTGTATGTAGAGTGTGTGCATGAAAGACTACCAGGATTTTGTGGTTCCTTTTACACAGACGCAAGATGGTATAGATAGAGGGCAGTGGCTTGCTGAGACCGGAGGTGGGAATGATTCCTTTGGGAGAGACGTCTCTCCTATACTCAAAGTTTGGGGTGATTTTGATTGTGGGGGCTACCCTTGGTGGATGCCCTTCTTTGGCCCGGTGGAAAGCACTCATCACTAACCATCCTTCTCTCTCTTTTCTCCAGGGTAACAAGATGCTCAACTACAGTACTCCCAGTGCAGGGGGCTGCCTGCTGGACAGGAAGGCTGTGGGCACCCCTGCCGGCGGGGGCTTCCCTCGGAGGCACTCTGTCACCCTGCCCAGCTCCAAGTTCCACCAGAACCAGCTCCTTAGCAGCCTCAAGGGTGAGCCGGCCCCAGCCCTGAGCTCCCGGGACAGCCGCTTCCGAGACCGCTCTTTCTCGGAAGGGGGCGAGCGGCTGCTGCCCACTCAGAAGCAGCCAGGGAGTGGCCAGGTCAACTCCAGCCGCTACAAGACGGAGCTGTGCCGCCCCTTCGAGGAGAATGGCGCCTGTAAGTACGGGGACAAGTGCCAGTTCGCCCACGGCATCCACGAGCTCCGCAGCCTGACCCGCCACCCCAAGTACAAGACGGAGCTGTGCCGCACCTTCCACACCATCGGCTTTTGCCCCTACGGGCCTCGCTGCCACTTCATCCACAACGCCGAGGAGCGCCGCGCCCTGGCCGGGGCCCGGGACCTCTCCGCTGACCGTCCCCGCCTCCAGCATAGCTTTAGCTTTGCTGGGTTTCCCAGTGCCGCTGCCACCGCCGCTGCCACCGGGCTGCTGGACAGCCCCACGTCCATCACCCCACCCCCCATCCTGACCGCTGATGATCTCCTGGGCTCACCTACCCTGCCCGATGTCACCAATAATCCGTTCGCCTTCTCCAGCCAGGAGCTGGCGAGCCTCTTTGCCCCTAGCATGGGGCTGCCCGGGGGTGGCTCCCCGACCACCTTCCTCTTCCGGCCCATGTCTGAGTCCCCTCACATGTTTGACTCTCCCCCCAGCCCTCAGGATTCTCTCTCGGACCAAGAGGGCTACCTGAGCAGCTCCAGCAGCAGCCACAGTGGCTCAGACTCCCCCACCTTGGACAACTCAAGACGCCTGCCCATTTTCAGCAGACTTTCCATCTCAGATGACTAAACAGTAGGGAGGGACCCCTGCCTACTACTCCATCCCACCCTCACCCCATCCCACAATCTCTCCCCATTCCCCTCCCATTCCTGACAGCCCCTACATTAACAAGATTAAGCTCAACCCCTTTTCCCCTTGTGCCTTGGAATAACCCCTCTCATTCCTTGTTACCCTCATCTAACATAAGGACAAGTCAATTTGTCAGTAGTTTCCTCTGGCTTGAAACCTCTCCCTTCAATTTTATAGCCCACTTACCATGCATGACAGACAAGTCCCATATTTGTCAGTAGATGCCTTTTTCTGGCTTAAGCCTTAAGTGCCAAATCACAAAAGAAAAAGCAGTTAACAGTTTACAGAAGCAACTTAGTGCCTTGTAATCTAACTTTGTCACTGTGACTACATTACCTCTTCAGCGCCAGAGGGCACCCGTGGGCCTCCCGGAGCCTCTGCCCATGGGGAGGGGGGAGACCCAGAACCACCAGCTCCCTCCACTGGCGACGACTGCACCTTCCCTCACTTCAGCCTCCCACACACTTCTTCCTGGCCCCTCTTCCCAGTGCCTGCCCTCCAGCCCCTTGGGAGAATTGTTGCCAGACTTGGGTTTTTTGGGGAAACCTGTCTTGACATTCAAAAACATTTTCCTTCCGGGCCTGAACCCCTGTTGACAAATCTTGCCTGGTTTCGTGTAGGTCTACAGGAAGGAATGCTGAAAAAAAGCGGATGAAGATTGTGACATAAGTGGGACTTTGTGATTTATTATTATTATTATTATTTTTTTGTCTTTTTTTTTTTTTTAAGTGGGGAGGAAGGGGAAGCTAGATGGACTATGAGAGACTTGATTTTGGTGCTAAAGTTCCCCAGTTTATATGTGACATCTTTAAAAAGAAAAACAACAGAAAAAAAATGAGAGAAAAGCTAAACATGTAAGGGGTGAGCAGTTAATGGTATTCATTCCACATACAATATCTGTGTAAAACGATTTCCTGTAGAAGTAGCTTTAATGGTTTTGCTCTAGAATACCGTAGGTCTTTCCTTAGAGCACTCACGCCATGCTTTGTTCCCTGGGTTTTAAACTTCATATAACTTTCAGAAATTGGAGAGCAAAAATTTTGCTTGTCACTGCACATCAATATAAAAAAGCTTATTTAACTTATCAAAACGTATTTATTGCCAAACTATGCTTTTTTTTTGTTAATTTTGTTCATATTTATCGGGATGACAAATCCATAGAATATATTCTTTTATGTTAAATTATGATCTTCATATTAATCTTAAAATTTTGTGACGTGTCTTTCCTTTTTTTCCACAGTTTTAATATATTATTCTTCAACGACATTTTTTGTAACTTTACACTTTTTTTTTTGGTTATTTTATTTTAAAAAAATGAAAAATTAATTTAAAAAAATGCGAAAAACTGTTGGATTATTTATTTTAGAAATTCCCCCCTTTGTGTTGGACTGCAAATTGAGTTTCTTTCTCTTTAGGCCTTTCACAACTAGGACTGAGAATGTATGTAAAAGTTCTGTGACAGTACAGAAGGAAAACAACTTCTTTTTATGTATAGCTTCTAAAAGGGAAAAAGAAAAAAAAAAGAAACCCTTTTGACTTCCACGAGCCCATCTCAAAAAGACATTCCGATCACATATTTGAGGTTCTGGATTCCAGGTTTGGAGTTTTCCAAGGTTGATGTAAACAGAACTGGCACACACACACATTAAGATGAATGTAATTATTATTCCTCTTGCTGTTCACTACCGTTGCTTTCTATTTCTTTTTCTTTGTGTGAATTTATTTAAAAGAAAAAAAAACTTTTTGTAACGACTATTTGCAGTTTAAAAATCAATAAACCCCAAGTTTTTTCAAGAAATCATGGTGGTGAAGCTTCTTTGACTTGATCTGTGGATTGGTTTTTTCCCCCTCTCTTGTACCTTGCAGGTTTTGAGTTGGGGCTTCAAGAGCTTAGAGGGGGGCAGTGTTGGAGTTATTGAGGTTTCTTTTGTTTGTTTTGCAAGGGGATGTTTGTTTCCTGATAACATCTGTTCCAGGAAGGTTTGCCCCTTGTCTTCATGGTTGGTTGATGAGCTTGGTTAATGAGCGGCAAAAGCCACCTTGTCCAGCATGCAGTGTTGAAGGTGGTTCTTCAGGGCAGCCACTTTTCAGGAGGGTGGGGTGGGGTGGGGCAGGGTGGTAAATACTCTCCCTTGTGAGCCTGTGGTCTTAATTCCTTTGGATGATGTTTAGTTTTGACTGCAATGATCAAAATGATGGCATTCTATACATCGACAGAACTGGATTTGTATGAGTTACTTGGGTGACTTCCAGTGTTAGCCTTCCCACAGAAAATTAACCCACCTAAGCGAGGGAGGTACACTCTTGGGGGGGCACCGACGTGGTGAGGGTCTCAGTCACAGGCACTGGGGTGTTTTCTTTTGTGTGTGAATGTGCTGGTGTGTTTGAAAGGCTGTTAGGGCAGTGGGTATCATCATTGGTTGGTGGTTCTTACCCTTACTCCCAGCTAGGTCCTTGATCCTATGCAGAATAGATACATGCTCCTCACCAGCATTAGATGACTCTTAAAGTGGTTGGCTCTTTCTAGAAGCACCTGAATCTGAAACTTTAGAGGATTTGGGTGGTTGTGTGTTGAGGGTGGTTGGGGGGTTGTTGTAGTGCTATTTGAGGCTTGGCTTTGTGCTCTGTGTACTCACTACGTTTTGTGAATTTCCACCCCTGCATATTTCCTTGACTCCACTAGGCCTCTCTTAAGGGTGGTCAGGTCTACAACTGACATCATTCAAGCCAGGGCTGTCAGCCTGGGGGAGAACTACCCGGATCTTGAAGATTCTTGCTTTCCTGTCTAACCAACCAGGGGGTAGCGGGTGTGAGTCTGAAGACAGACACTGGTACCAGGGAGATCTGATAGCTTAGGAGTTGGGCTGCCAATCCAAAGGCATGCAGTTCAAATCCACCAGTTGCTCTGAGGGAGAAAGGTGGGCAATCTGGGATTTATTGCCCTGTGATAACCCACAGGATGATCAGCTATGAGTCAGTTCTGACTCAGCATAACAACAACCTGTTAGAGGCCAGTGGCTGGAAGAAAGGATAAGCATGTGTGTGTGCACATGGAGCAGTGTGGTCTCAGACTAAAAGCAAAAAAGTTCATTTGACCGCTCACGTTGAAGTAATTCTAGATGAACATAGGACAAATCTGATTCTCCCACTTAATGGTGACACCATGAGTCCAGAGGGGCCTAAACACACTCCCTAGTTTACAATGAACTAGTCTCAGCTCCCTGGGTTAGATTACAAAGGCAGAGGCTCACAAAGCCCTGGGCAGTGGGGGCTGGACTGTCAGGGCAGGGGGCTGCTCCCTAATAGAGGCACCCAGACTTGAACCTTTTAACTCCACACCAGGGGCACCAAGAGACAGCTAATTCAGACTAGGATATTGGCAGCACAGGCCAACATGTGGTGGGCGTAGAGCCCTATTTTCTACTACCTGGATCTTGAAATTACAAGCAATGAGCCCAAACTTCTTGGGAAAGGAAATAACAAAACCCTCTGGGCCCCTTATTTTCCCAGGGTACTAGAAATGAAGTGGCCTCCAGAGTGTTGTGCTCCAGGCTGGCGAGAACCAGGAATGGTGGGCAACCTTTGCTACTGACCTCTTCTGTAACGAGGGAACAGGGCCCCTTGCCTGTCTGTGTGTAGGTGAGGCCTATGCAAAGGGAAGCTGGGGCAAAGGGAAGCTGGGGCAGGAAAGTTCAAACCTTTGCCAATTTCCTGGCCCACAAAGTCAGCTTCCCACCCTGTGTGCTTGACTCTAGAGCATCTCTGGTGTGGGGACATGGAGGAGATCTGACCTGGTTGAGCAGGCCTTGGTCACTCCTGGCTCCTGACTATGTCTTTCCTTGGGATAACTCAGAGAATGAGCTCTTTTGGCACCTGAGTGATGACTCACATTTTGTTTTGGGGAGGAAGGGTCACTGGAAGACGATGGCTGGGCCCTTGTATACCTTAGCGGTGCTCTGATGGAAAAGAGGGCCTTGGAGGTCCAACAAAGAAGACAGGCCAGGATTAGGATGGGCTTTGTAGCCAACAGGGTGGTGAATCTCTGGTTACCAAAAGGGCAGAGTGAGCCATGGCAATAGGATGTGTCCATGGCATGGATGATGGGGTGTGGGAGTCCTTTGGGCTGAGTTCAAATCTTACCTCCCTCTCCCATAAGTTTAGGCCTTGGGGAAATGACTCACCTTTGAATTTTTCATCTGTGTCTTGAGGGGCTGCCATGGGTATCAAGTGAACCATTAACAACGACAGGCAGCATGAATATTCAGAATGAAAAAGAAAATTCATAAAAGCATGAATGATCAGAATGACTCCATGAAAGAAAAACTATTATTACTACCCCTATTTTACACATGGAGAAATAAGGGTGCAGAAAAGTGCATTAACTTTCTGAAAGCCCTATAACTTTCGAATTCAGGATTTGAACCCAGGTAGGCTAGCTCCACCATTGCATTTAATTACTGTATTAGCGTGCCTGAGGCTGGTATACGGAAAACACTGTCACAGTACCTGGAACAAAGTAGCTACAAATTGACCATTGTTAGTTCTTATCTGCCTTGGTTCTTTAAAAATAAATAAATAGATATAGATAGATAGATAGATAGATAGATAAATAGATAGGTTGGTAACAATATATACACAAATAGTTGGATAACACTGGTTATATACTTCATGTTATCACCATTTCCTCTCTAACCGTATTGTTTCATTACCATCAATCTAGGTTCTCTGCCCCTCAAAGTTCTTATTTGTGTTTTGAGATTAACTCTTGTCAGTTTACAATCCTATTGGTAGGTCTTTATAAGACTGCCACACTTGAGGCAAACATTATTGATTGGGCCAAAAAACTGCTGTTAGTTTAACAGTGACTTCATGGTTTGGTTTCTGTTCAAGGTTTAAAGGTTAGTTCTGGACATTTGATTTGGCAATTTCCCCAGTCTCAATGCTGCCAATAAGACTAGTTTGTATGAGTTTGAAGTTCTGTTTTATACTTTTCCTCCTTTTGATAAGAGTCTATCTATGGAGTCCTTGATCAAAACTTTGAATAATAAGTAGTAGTTGCTACTCTGGCCTTTTGTGGCGATTTTGTCAGTACATGAGAGGCAGCCAGTTGGATTAGATGATTCTGCATATACCCCCTCCACCAACGTCTCAATCTCATGTTCTCCCGTGAAGCCTGGATTGGTGTATTTGGAGGAGAGAGTAGGCCATCCCCTTGGACTTTAAGCCTTCTCGGTCCACCATGGGGTAGGCTCTGTTAATGAATGACAGAGCAAAGAGTGCTTGGAGGAGGTCTGGGGGAATTGCCTCTGAGCCCTCCTTCCCCCGGGGTCTTCCAGCTCTGCACGTAGCCAACCATTTAATCAGGTCTAGCTGGACTGACTGGAACACTTCCAGTGATCAAGGAGGGAGGAGCCCAGGGGAGAGCACTAGTCTTTTTACTACCCCCTTGTAGATTACTCTTTGAAGCCCTTCCATTGGTCTGCTGCAGAACCACCAAGGATTTAGAGAGTTGGAAAGCAGAGTGAAACCTTGTTCTTCTCTTGAGGTCAAGCCTAGTCTTGGGGGCCCTGCAGTGACGCACATCTTGGTGGGTAAATTTTGGGTTGGTGAGAAACCCTTTGACTTTTTGGAGGTGTTCCAAATTGTTACATCTGAGCTACTTGTCACGTGGACTAGTCTGTGAGGAGCCAAGGGTGGGGCTGTTCCAGGCCCTGCTGGGCTCGTCTCCCCTGTGAGAGCGGGTCTCTGGTCAGTGGACAAGGGTACATCCGTCACTTCCAGGTGGCTTGTAGTTGTTTCAACATGTTGGCAAAGCCTAGGGTTCAAGGTGCAGCGTTGTGAGTGAGGA